CGTACAGTCGGGACAGACATTAAGTAGTCTTAAATGTCAACAAGCAAAAGTGCAAGCAATGAACTCTGATCCCTCCCTCGGTGCATGGCCATAACGTTTTTAATAATGCTTCATTATTAGCCATTAGGTCGAGGCAAACTGCAAGTCGAGCTTAATATCTTGAGCAATTTATGGCAGGGATTAGGTGGGAGCCCCCCTCCCCGCCCATTGGCATTACTTGGCTGCAGTGCGCACATAAAACTTCTCCAAGAACTTACTTTGGCCAGTTTCCGAATTTACAGCGGCGCAATGCGTTAAAATTGTAACATTAAATTGACATTCTAAAGTTTGACATTAAATGCAAAGTGAACCTGAAACTTTTGGAAAACATTTACCATATTTTACTTACATATATTCTCCTGCTGACCTTGTGCCATAAATTTGGTTTCCATGGCAGAGCAGACGAGTCGCATATGCAGATGCTCTAGCAGGCAGCTCCCAAGTTTCACATGGCTTCCCTGAACTTGAGTTCGTTTTCGAGCAATTACTCATATTTATTTGGATATTTGAAAGTCTTGCGCCAAGGCAGCAGCAGTTGCAGCTATTGAGGTCTGCCGCATCCAGCTGCTTTGGCTAAAAGCGCAAATAAATAGACTACTTTAAGCATGTAGATTATCAGCATAAAAGGAGACGTCCTTTTACCAGGCAGCACCACGTATACGTAGCTCCTTTGGCCCCAGCCAGTTATCACAAAATGTTTTCGTCGTACAATGGCAATAAATACTAAGCGCAGTTGCTCTTATTAGCCAACAAAATGGCAGCTCGGCCTGGCTAGAGCCGCAGTGCTATCAGATGTCGCATAATGCACACTTTGCTCCAGACATACACTTAGACCCACACTCCCACACACACACAGACACTCACACTCACACACGCAGGTGACTGCCATAAACACCTCAAGCCATAAAAATGCAATTTAGTATTTGCTGTTTTGCCAACTACTACAATGGGCGGGCGGGCAACAACAAATAACAGCTGGGATCACTGAACTAAGGAAACAAACTAGATCCGAGCCCACGTCTAACTGCTTGCTCCCCAAGGGGCGTGGCACTGCCGGGCCCTGGTAAGCAACTTCCGAACACCGTTTGGCAGCCAGCCGTAGTGGCTGGCTTATATACGTAGTATTTCTTTGCACAGGTGCCGTGTCCGGCTGGTCGTCTTCCTGTGCCGAGTTCCGTTGTTTGTTTGCAGAGGTAAAAAGAAAACCCAAACAGCAACAACAATAGCAACAACAACAGCAACAACAACAACTATAATAAACGGCAGCAAATGGCAGGCAAACAATGTCACGCCAAGGCGGAAACGGCAGCGCGTTACGTAACGCAAGAGCTTAACGTTACGTCGCCTCGTTGCGAGCGAATGGTCGACCCTCGCCACAGTGAGTCAGTGGCCTTTGTTAATAATTACCGCAACCGCTACTGCACGGCATATTACTAATGGCATTGGGCGTATCGCCGCTGATACTCAAAATAGAGACAATACAATACGGGGCGTATGATTAATGAGTGGCCCAGC